CTACCACCATTCTTATTTTATAGATGGGGAAACTGAGGCTCGGGTTCAATGACTTGCCCAAAGCAAATGCCATTTGCTTCTCACTGTCATTGTGTCTTGCCACCATTTTGCAAGCGTTTCCTACAGACCAGGTGCCATGCTCCTAAGTGCTGGACATGAAGCTGAGCTCTCACCCCTCCAGGGTGGCGGGCACTCCCGGCAGAAGGACAAGGCGGTGCCCAGGGCTAAGGGCTGGTCCTGGAGGGCTGACCCAGACGCTGGCCTCCAGGCTCCACGGCGCCGGCAGCTCCACCATCTGATGGCAGCAGGACGTGGGGCATCTCCAAGGGTCGGCTAATGTCTGGACCCAGGTCCTCATCAGTCTGTCCAGATAGTGGAGGTTGAGTTAGGTTTTCGTGCTCATTTCCTGCTGTTCCCACGAGGGAATGAGATCTGGCAAGAGGCATCCCTCTGTCTCTCTGATCCAGGCCCAGCTCGCACACCTCTGCCGTTCTTGCTGCAAAATCTGTGCTACCTCCCCCAAAGGGCCCAGGCATTCCCGGAACCAGTGTCCTTCTGGGGAGTGGCCTCACGTGAGCCCTAACTCAGGGGGGCTTGTCCAGCCAGAAGGCACCTACTGTGCACCACAGGCCTGGAGGTTACAGCCACCTTCAGGGTCCCAGGTCCTCACATGCATCTGTGGTGTCCTCCCAGGACCCTCTGTGCTAGAGAAGGATACAAGCAGACAGCCCCTAAGCCCTCTCTGCTTCTGCTGACTCAGAGAGCACATTTCCATGCCCATGGGAGAGCTGGCCATGGGGCTTGGAGCATGGCTGACTGTGTGAGCCACATAAATCTTGGGACGTGATATTGAATATTGAAGATGCCAATTGTCTTAGTCTGTCTGGGCTGCTGTAACAAAAATACCATACGCTGGGTGGCTTATAACAACAAACATTTATTTCACACAGTTCTGGAGGCTGGAAGTCCAAGATCAGGGTGCCAGCAGGGTTGGTTCTGGTGAAGGCCCTCTTCTGGGTTGCAAACTGCCAACTTCTTGCTGCATCTTCCCACGGTGGAAGGGGCAAGGGAGCTTTCTTGGGCCGCCTTTTTTTTTTTTTTTTGGTGTGTGTGAGGAAGATCAGCCCTGAGCTAACATCCGATGCCAATTCTCCTCTTTTTTTTTTTGCTGAGAAAGACCGGCCCTGGGCTAACATCCATGCCCATCTTCCTCCACTTTATATGGGACGCCGCCACAGCATGGCTTGATGAGCGGTGCGTCAGTCCGTGCCCAGGATCTGAAGCCGTGAACCCTGGGCCGCCGAAGCGGAGCGCACACACTTAACCGCTACGCCACCAGGCTGGACCCTGGGCAGCTTTTATTTTATTTTATTTTTTATTTTTGGTGAGAAGGATTCACTCTGAGCTAACATCTGTGACAATCTTCCTCTATTTTGTATGTGCATCACTGCCACAGCATGGCTGACAAGTGGTGTAGGTCCACACCCGGGAACCAAACCCATGAACCCCAGCCACCAAAGTGGAGTATGCCAGACTTAACCACTATGCCACGGGGCTGGCCCTTGGGCAGCTTCCATAAGAGCACTAATCCCACTCTGCCCTCGTGACCTAATCACCTCCCAAAGGCCCCACCTCCAAATATCATCACCTCGGGAGTTAGGTTTCAACATATGAATTTCGGGGGGACACACACATTCAGTCTATAGAACCAACTTTAATCTGAGCTGGGGAGCAGCGGCCACCACAGCTGGCCTCAGGCAGAAGTCAAACTCCCAGCTGGGCAGAGGTGATGATGGCAGGGAAAATCTTGATCAAGTGACAAAAGGGGGGCGGGGGTGGCCAGAACCCAGAGCCTGGCAGAAGGGCAGTGCTGCCATTCTGAGCTGGCATCAGAGGACATGGACAGTGTTTGGAGGGATTTCAGAGGAAGTCTTCTTTGGGGGGTCTGGGTGTGTTTCTAGGTTGTTTCCTTTTAAAAAGCAGCCATGGGAGGGAGAAGAAGAGAAGATACAGCTTGGGTAGGTTCCCATCGACAAGGCCCTCACATTACCCCCTTCTCCTCGAGGGTGGGCACGGGGGCCTCTGTAGTGTCTGCTCCACATTTAAGAAGGAGTATTAATAAAGAGCGCACAGTGTGAGCAGAGACTGGAGCACAGGAAGCCTGGGGCAGTGGCTCACCAGTCAGACCCAAAGGTCAAAACCAGAATTCAGGCTGACCCCCACCACTTGTTTTGCTTATCCTGCTCAGCTGCCAGGTAGGGGCAAGGAAGATACGCAGGAGTCTGCTCAGGGAAGGTGGGTGTGTCTGTTTTAGTAGCAGTGGCACCACACCTGTGAACTCTGGCAGCCTGAGTCACCTCCACGGGGCGGGGCAGGCTGAGGGCCTGAAGTTGTTCCTGGGAGAAGGGGGGAGGGGGAAGTGGGAAGAGATTTTCTCTTGTGAAAATCAAAGGCACTTAAGTGGGCTGGGTGCTGCAGCCAGAAAGAGCAGGTCAGAAATCTGAAGGGGGGCCTGGACTCTCAGGCCAGGGACGCCAGGAGCTACAGCTGGCAGCTCAGTCAGGCGGGGCCCAGGTCTATGCAGGGGAGTGGGGCTCCAGTCCAGAACGGCTGGAGACTGGGCCCTGACATCCAAGGGAAGGAATGGAAAGACAGCCGTCTCCAGGCTGGGGCCCGGCAGGTTGCAGGTGTCTGCTGGCTCCTAGCACATGCAGGACTCCCTGATTCCTTAGTCTGATGAAACTCCTGTGGTTTCTGCCCTGGGAGGAGGGTGGGAGAGAGAGGGGCCGGGCTTGGCTCAGTTGCCAAGCTGCTCAGAGAAGGTCCCACGACCTGACCTGAGGTCTGGAGATGTGGGGATTCTGGGGCGAGGACCAGAGCCCTTCTCTAAGGGAGGGAGGATCTGTGGACACAGGGTGCAGGCCAGGCCCAGGAGCCTCTGAGGCTGGTCTTTGGATAGTGTGGACTTGAGGACAGCTCTCCCACAGCCTCTTGGCTAATGGGCTGGCTGCTGAAGCCATTCGACTCTTTGGGCCCAGATTCAGCAGGACTTGACGGGACTCCGAGGAAGATTCTGTACCCCAAAGCCAACTCTAGGATCTGGGAGAGCCCACCTGTCTCGAGCCCTTCATCTACCTTGGCTTCCAGCATTCAAGGGTTCCCTAAACCTCCCAGAATCTCTTCCAGCAGCAGCCCAAGCCAAGTTTCCCTCAGGAGAGGGGCTGCAGGTCAGTCACAGAATCTCCAGCCACTGCCACCACAGGCCGAGGGCCGTGGTCTGTGGCCCCAGCGCAAGCCCTGGGCTGCAGGTACTCCCTCTGCTAGGAGAGGAGGGGGTGATGGAGGAGCAGAAGCAAAGGAAAGGCAGGATGAAGCCCCTCCGACTACCGGCCTCAGTGGCCCAGCTCTCTTCCATCTAGGATGCCAATTCACCATGCACTGCCACTCAATTCCAGTTTGGTCTATAATTGCTTCCTGCGCAGAGATGCGATTCCTAACTAGATTATAAAGTCCTCGAGGGTGGGTCTGTGACTTGCAATTCTTTGGTACTCCACTCCAGAGTGGCAGGTGGGCACAAACAGCACTCTGCCCAGTACCTGGATGGCAGACGGAGGGGCAATCCCCACCAGCAGGATCCCCTATAAACCCCTGCCTGCCTGTGTGAATGGGGCGGGGGCAGCCGGAGGGGCATGGGCTGGGTTCCCACTCCGCCTCCTGCCAGGGCCTGGCTGCCTGCAGCTTTCCCTGGCCAGGCCAGGGAGGGAGGGCAGGGCAGGTGGGGAGCTGGCTGGGAGGTGTAACTTGAGCTGGGAGGAATTCCCTGCCCTTCCTCCATGCTTTTATTAAAGTAGGGCGGGGAAGGGCAGGCTTCCATCGGAAAAATCTCCCAGGCAGCCGGGGGAGGTGGGGAAGCCGCCGGGGGCTGGGAGGGAGCACCGGCCGGCCGCAAATAGAAACGGCGCTCAGGCCCACAGCCCAGGCGGCAGGAGGCTCCAGGCCGGCCCAAGGGCACCGAGGCCCGATCCTGCCCGGGCGGGCGCAGAGGCGAGCGTCCTCCCACCTCCCCGCCCAATCCTCTCCTCTCCTGGTCCGGAGCAGGGTCTTAGAAGTCGGGAAAGAACGGACTCCGCTTTAGTTCTGGGGCCTCGGAGCTGGTGCCCTCACTATCCCTGCTCGGGAGGACGGCGCTGGGCGACCCCATGGAGCCCGGTGAGCCGGCTGGACCCAGCTCTGCGCCAGGAGGCCGGGCCTGATCACCCGCGGGACCCATCCAGAGCTGAGGCCCCGTAGGGATGTCAGGCGGGCTCCTGGTGGAAAGATGTTCGGAGACCGCCCTCTCCGACCCGGGCCTCGGCGTAGAAGCGCTGTTGGGAGGAAGCGCCGGGGGAGACAGCCTCTCTCTTTCGGACTCCACCTGGCCGTGGCGCGGCTTCCGCGCAAGAGCCCAAGAAAGTCGCCAAAGCGCCCCCGCAACCCGAGTCTGCTGCCTCGGAGGTTCGCACCCCTTCCCCCAATCCCGGCCGCCGCGCACGGCTCAGTGTCACCCACACCGGAGGTTACCTAGGCGGGAGCGCTGCCTGCTCCGCCAGAGGCCCCCCGCCCCCCAGGGCAGCCCCCTCCCCACTCGCAAAGAACGCCACTGCGCGCCCGCTGGTCTCTCGAGGAATCAGCCGCCCGGGAGGGGAGAAGGGGCTAGGGGCGGCAGAAGCGGCTCCCGGGAGGCGGTCTGGGGCGGATCAGCGCTCAGGGCAGGGCTGTAGGGGTGGAGAGCGGGCGCGAGCCCCACGCCCTCCAGGGTTTGGGAAGAGGTGCGCCGCAGAGGGAGAGCTGGGAAAGGGGCAGCTTGCCTAGTCCCCTTTCTTCCCCGCCCCCATCTCCGGGACAGGGTCTCGCCGCCGCGCCCCCTACCTCCTGGCCTCGGACTGCGGGCGTGGCTCCCTCCCCACCCCACCCCCAAGTCCCCCAGCCCACGGCCCAGGGGGCAGGGTGGGGGTCCTTACCTCGGCGTTGACTTCTGCGTCCTCCGCCGCCGCGCCGCGGCCCAGGCAGCCCAGAAGCACCAGCAGCAGCAGCAGTAGCCGCGGCCGCGCCGCCGCCTCCCGGCCGCCAAGGAGGCTGCCCGCCCAGCCCGGCCTGGCACCTGGGCCAGGCCCCTTCCAAGGGGACGAGTTCCGAGG